AAAAAAACTTCCGTTCTTGGAGACTCAAAAATAATTTATTGACAAATCGGATATCGGTAAAATATGTACGACTATCTCGGAAGCCTGAAGATTACAGCACATAATACTAAAGTTGATTTTAAACTATTAATTAAAACATTTGATGCATACAATTTAGAAGTTTACTTAAAAACATATTCATCATTCTAATTCCTTTAAAGATTTATTCGGAAACAATATCTACATATAAAAGATGTTGCAGACAATGGAATCGCAATATAAAAGGTGTTTATTGTTCAGGTTGAAGACCTCACAAGTTAATGACATCTATTTAGATTTCACAAGGTGATAACAGACAATCCACTTTTTGTAATACTCATGAAATTATTGCATTATTTAATGAAGATAACAGCGATACAAGAGGGCCAACACGAAGAGCATAATTATATTATATTAATTACAGGAAATGGAACGGTTTTTATTATTACATACGAATAAACAATAATAAATAAGTATTCAGGTAAAAAATTACCATTTATTTAAACGTACTGTTTGCTTTTGAGTAAGAGCTCCCACAGACTTCTTACTGGTCGACAGTTTGATCGGATCAAACCGAAATCATATAAAATCTACTCGTAATGCACAAGTTCATACAGATCCATGACTACAAACTCATTATCTTCTTCCTTATCCTACATCCGTAGGGTCAGCGCAGCAGGTTTTTTTTTCCTCCAAATAACTCTATCATAAGCCATCTCATCATGTCACCTTTGACGCAATCCATCCATCTCTTTCTAGGACAAACCATCCGATAAAGTCTATAGTCAGCTGAGACTCTCAGTATCACTTTCAAGCAAACTTCAAGAGTCAATAACAAGTCTTCTACAACAAGTAAATATTAAGATATATTCATTATGATATCTAGTGTGTAGCAAATGAAGGACAAACCGCTTCGAGACCGTAACATTTTATCAAGTATTCTATTATAATTCAAGTGGCTTCAGATAAAAGAGATAGAGGCATTCGCAATTTAGCGCCTTTGGATAATCACGCGATGCGATCACTAGCGATGTTTCGTATTATAGGGTTGCCAACAACACAACGTTTGTCGTAAGAAATAATTATCAGATTATTTAGCAGCTACATTTAATAAATTTGTTTTTTTACTACCAACAAAAACTACATTTACTATAAACCTAAGTACAGATTCTAAAAACATATTTTGTTACATCTAAGCTTAAAAAAATCTTCGATTAAATATGATAGAATAAAAACTACTCGTAATTATAGTTAAACATTTGTTAGTAGGTGGCAATAAAGATGTCGACAACCCTAATACTAAATAATGGCGGAATGTAGCTCGTAATAAAAACGTAATACGCGGCGGCGGCGTGCGGACAATCAGCAAGTTTTCTATAATAAAGCGCATCGCGACGGCCACCGACCACTTTGTATGCAGACGGCCGCTCAAACAGCCCCGGACGCGGTAAAGGTGCGCTTCCACTGACAGTGTCTACAAAATTAT